ACGAGAACCACTCCTTCCACTCAGGGCTTTCTCCTCTTCCCCTGCTCCAGACAGCATCAGCTCTGCCCAGGAGCTCCGGCTCTCAGGAACTCAGACCTGCACACTGAACAGCAGGCCAGGCAGCACATGCCCTGCACGTGGTCATTGGGACATCTTCCCTGACGTCCACTGTCTGTTGTCCTCAACTCTCCTTTACATAGTGTCACATCCTGGCTGGAAGCGTGCACAGTGACTGGACAGCTGTCCTTAGTGGAGGCCACCAAGCTTCCCATGGCATCTGCCCAGTTCCCTGGTCCCCTTCTTACACCAGGGCACTTATGGTATCTGCAACTCTCCCCAGACCTCTGTCCTCCTCCCAATCTATGCTGGCAGGTCAGTGCTTCCGAAAGTGGGCAGCTCCAGAAGGCTACAGGACATTGTGCAGGTCTGAGGCCCAGGTGTGCACCATGAGTGACTGTGACCATGTCCTCCCACAGCGACCCGGGAGTCTGCAGGGGCAGTGAAGTGGACCAGCTGACGGCACCCAGCTCCTTGTCACACACTTGGATTGCAGAGACACTGCGGGTTTCTCTCCCTGGTGCCCCATGTGCCTGGCACCTCAACCGTCTCCAGGAGGTGACTCAGCTGTCTCTCCCCCCATCCACTGCCAAGTATCTGCAGATCCCCTCATTCCTCATCACTGTGCCAGAGGTCACTCTGTGCTGCACCCTCACCGAGGTCCTCAGGGAGGTGTCAGATGAGATGACAAGGAAAAGACTAAGACTAAACCTTTTCCAAATATGACCGGCTGGTAGAGCACTCAGAAGAGATAGCAGGGGCCAGGGGGCAGCACAATCATCAGAGACACCTGGGAGGGTGGCGGTAAGGAGCAAGAGAAGGAGAAGGTGGCTGAAGCAACAAAGGAACCCCTGACATCTCACCTACTGCGTTGTCACCTGGAACTCAGGTCGCCTCCTGGAGAGCCTCCCTCAGAGCCAGTGGGCCTATCCATCTAGGTGCAGCATGGCCTCATTTCGAAACACCCCACGTGGTCCTCTTGTGGGGCACTGCTCAGAGGTTATCTAAGCCAAGTGGCAAACCTCTGCAGAGGGAGGGCTATTTAGAAGCCACAGGCTGAGCCCACTGTCCAGAGGAGACATACAATCCCAACCAGAGAGAAAAGAGTTTTCTGACCTGGGAAAGGGCTCAGGGAAGCCCAGAAGAAAGTCAGAAACAAGAGGCTGGGAGAAGCTCCACCCAAGGACGGATGCGAGAGGCTGCCCTCAGTGTGGCATCTGCGCTATCCGGGAGGCTCTCCACAAGCCACTGGGCTGAGGGGCCCAGCGGCTGGCTGCTTCTCAAGGCAGATGCATCTCCAGCAGGCTTCTCCCAAGGAGCCTCCCGAGCTCCACACAGCTGACGCATTTTCTACAGACTGAAGTTCTTTTGCTTCTGCTTGCAGACATGTCTTTCCTTGTGGATTCGTGGACTCCCTCCTCTCCCTGTCACACCATCTGGAAGGCCTTGTCTTTAGACGCCGCCCTTCCCTGCCTCAGAAGCATGGTGTGTATAGAGTGCTGGGCTTCCCCAGCTCAGAGGGTCTAGGGAGGACTCGGGCTCTGTGCCCTCCCAGCCTCCAGCCAGTGAGCTCTGACCCCTACACGCCCTTCTGGGGCCACATGGGAATCTCCTCTCCTCAGAACAGGCATCCTCTCCTCAGAACTTCCACAGGCATATCTGCTTTCTCTCTTTAGCACTGTAACTTCCAAACTATAAGATATACCTGTACATGGATATAGAATCTATTCTATTCTGTGCGCCATTCCAAATTGGAGAACACAATCATATACATACATTCTAAAATCCCCACAGGTGCCCCATACCCAGTCATTTTAACAGCCACACAAGTCACCACCCCTTCCTTGATGCAGAAAGGCAGCCTTTGCTTTGTCCTCGTGAGCAGTCGGCCACTAGTGAGCAGCCACACCACAGTTCTGCTTCCTTAAACAGAACCTACCTTGGTCTTTGGCTACCCATGAAGCTATCTTTGCTACCTGTTACAATCTGGACTCTTACTTTAGTGGGCCTATTTTGCTTATGTGTTAAGAAGTCACCTCAAACCATTGTTATGTAGAGACTGTAAAGTTTTCCAACCTACAAAGGAAAGAGTAATACCTACCTCATAGCACCAATTCAGTACTACAACAGGTGAATAAAATCTAACATACCACCTGCCACCTAGGAGGTGCTTAATAAATCAGAGAGCTGATGCAACTTAAATTTCATTCGTACATTGTTAATTTGTGCTCACAGCAGTATTACTGCAGAACCACGGCAGAAATTTTAAATTTCATTTATAATTAAAATGTATTTGATTGTATGTTGGATAAGAGCTTGTTTATACTATCAAATAATTTGTTTCAATTATTCAAAATAAATTCATAAAAAGAAACACTATGAAGAGAAGGAGGGAAGTATAATTTCAGGATTGAGATGACTTAATTGCTGAACAGGAGCCTTGCCTTAGGTTGGTGTTTTCTGACAGCCAAGGCGGAAAGAAAGGCACGTGAATTTAAGGGGCTCTGTCTTTGATAAGCAGATGGAGTAACTCACACTGCATGAGCATCTTCCGCCTGGCATTCAGATGGAGGCAGGAGCCACAGGGAGCCTGGCAGCACGGCCACGTCCCCACGGCCCCATGGGGGCAGGGGCCCTCCCTCTCCCCAGAAGGATGCCACATTGGTTTGGATGGGGCTTCCCCCTCAGGCAGCCACCTGGGGATTTTCTTAACACAGGGGTGAGCTGCTCCCCCCTATTTCCAAACCTGAGCTAGCTTTCAGGTCATTTGTGAAGCAGCTCAGAGCTTGGCTTTGCAGCGTGTCAAGGGTTTGGCTTATTCAAGCAGCTCCACATGATACTGCCAGCTTCCCTGAGCTGGGGTGACCAGGAAGAACTGTGGATGGGGACAATGTGGCTCTGTCTGGGGGCATCTGCTTTCCCAGAGCTGGAGAGTGATGCGACACAACGCACTTCCTGAGAAAACCATAACCACCCAACAAAGGGGAAGTCCAAGCGTGGTAGGATGTATTGCCTTTGATTAACAATAAGGTGTTTGTTTTGTAGGTAATTAGATCTAATGGCAAGCTATAAAGATCCCACCAAGAAATTTAGAGCAGACTATAGCTAAAGGGGCTAAAGCACAGCTGAATCTAAGCATTCCTCTTTGTAGACCTCCTGTGCTAACGCGCCAGGCTTCGGATCAGTACAGCCCAACAGGTCATCAAGGGAGGGAAGGACAGTCCTCTTCATTCTGAACCATCCAAGGAGAAAAGAGGCCACACAGTGTGCTCACAAGTGCGTGCAAAGACCCTCGGCTGGCACCACTTACTTAAATTTACTCTTCAAATACCCATCACATTCTGGATGGTGGCAAATGTTTTCCGAGCCCTGCTTAAAACCACCGGGGCTTGATTCCTAGGTATGATGGCCTTTTAACAGAGAAGCCTGTCAAAGCCATCTTAGCAGCTCAGAGAGGTTAACATAAATCTGTGTTGTTGTTTTTTTTTTCAGAACCAGGGTTTGAACTCAGACCCTTGCGCTTGCCCAGGAAGCACTTATTCTACTGAGCCATCTCCCCGGCCCCAACATAAATGTGATGGCATTGAATTTTAAAACAGGAGGGACCAAGAGTTTCTAGCAATATTAAAAAGGTAGCGTCACAATGAAGTGATGGTGCAGGGACAACTGCTCACCTGGTTTTGCTAGCCCCAGGGCACCCACACATCAGCCTTTTCACTCTATGCATGTGCATCATGGCACCCCACAAGTCCAAAGGAGCCACTACAAACCCCTCCGTAGGATTGAAAACATTAAAGTGGCACCAGATAAAGAGAACATAAAGTAAAGCCAACCATATAGTTAATTCTAGAGGACACAATGGCTTTCATATTGCTTTTTATAAACTGGCTTTACTCTTGCAAAAAGGCCCCAGACATTTTCCAATAGGTCATTAGAAAATCTTTAAACACCCCCATGAGATACTTCCACTTAATTATGTTTTGTACACCCCAATACAAATTTTCCCATTGTTTTGTATGCTCTGGCTTCCATTTAATTTTTTTTTTTAAGTTAAAAAATACAGAGCCATACCACAGTATTCCCTCAGAGAAACATAAAGCAGACATTCACTCCAGGAGAAAGCGTAAACCTTCGGGCCATAGTTTCAGAGTTGCTGGCTTTCTGCCCCTCGAGGCTTCCTGCAAGGGATCGAAACTTTGGGTGTCCACTTACCCCTCTGATCCTCAGTTTCCTCCTTTGTGAAAAAGGAGGCTGGCTCAAATTCTCCCTCAGACATCTATGGGCCCTAAGTTTCCATGGTCGTTCCATTAAAAAAATATGCAAAGTTAGATGCTATTTATTCTTCAGAACTGAAACACTTGCATTGTGTATGCAGAAGTAATATTTGAAACTGGCTGAAAAGAAAAAAAAATCAAGTCTGAAGAGAAATCCTATAATTGAGATGATGAGCTCAGGGTGTATCAAATATCACGCTGACCCAAGGAAACAAGGACGACAAAAGAAGACACGCAGAGAAACCTCTTCCCCTTACTGGGTTGGCTTTAAGAATAAACATGAGCCTTGAATTAAGATTTCAGCACTCAGGGGCTGGAGAGATGGCTCAGTGGTCTAAAGCACCTACTTGAAGCAAGCTTGGCAAAGCACAGGGACTGCGGTTCGATCCCCAGCACCACATGCCAGCCAGACCCGCCCCCTGGTGGGCTGAGCTGGCCACACACACACAATAAATAAATGTAATAAATAAAAATAAATAAATATTTAA